GTATCTCATATGGAATATGATGTGCTTTCAGTTGTACCTCTACAAAAAAATACCGTACAATACAGTACCTCAACAAATATAGGTAAATATTACAATACATTATGCTATGAAAGTTGTATCGGTCATACTATTTGGAGCTGAGAGATTTTGACCTCAGAGATAGAAAAACCTATCGAAGTGAACTCTGAACAATTGAAGATTCTCCAATACACAATTTATCCATATTTTATCCGTGAAATTTCACAGCACGAATAATTAAATGTACACAACGGAGATAATCCACAAGACAAGAATATCAATCGCTATGTACAAATGGCTTTGTCGGGCACTTCCCATCGAGCGTCTCAAGGGATACCCGAAACATTTCAAAAGTTTATCAACTGACAATCAAAGAACGAAGATACCAACCTAACAGATCTGAGACCATCCAGAGCGCACACGTTTCATGCAGAAGTGGTGCATCGATGCTATAATATTCAGCCAAAATATCGATTATGTCCGAAGCCTTTGCTAATTTACCATTGATAAGTGGTAGCTGACATCCTGGAATCGAATGAAGTTCAAGAGTGCGGTAAGGAATGAATAGTTCAAAAATATGATGTTGTACAAGGCGATCTTCTACTTTTACATGATATCCGAATCTCACAATTAGAAAGAACGCAAGTCAGTCCTGAAGTAAGAAGTAGGAAGACTTATCCTCTTACATAACGTAAAATCGCCTGTTATAGAGAGAGGAGCTTGTCCCCTTGGTCATTCAGATAATCTGAGGAAATCAGCAAGATGTTAGCACAAACGAAGAGACAATTCTCTTAGAAATGAGATATTCCATCAGTAAATCTAACGAATAAAATCTTGATCGTTCTAATGGTGCTCAAAAGTGATCTCCTTACAGCAAGCATACCTCGATTGTCCGGCCAAAACACCGTTATATCCAGTGCATCGTCCAGCGAAGTTACAGTTGGTGTTTCTGAGGGTGTATCACGAGTGTGACGCGTGGCTTTTGGAGGTTCTAGTTGACTGCTAGACAATAAGCCGCCGGGATGCCTGAAATTTTGAGTGTTCAGAATCTTTTCTGCGCGATGACGAATCGCTATTGCTCCCCGGCATGCACTGAAACGTGTGACCAATAATTCAGCAAAGTTATTTAAAACCAGAGTGTAAGATTGCTCGTTTACCTTATGGCATATCCCACAGGTGAACTTGTAAGAGGTGGAGAGTTTGGTGAGGCTGATTGTGAACGGCTTTCGGACGCTCCGGACTCCAATTGGATCTGATCTGAGTAATAGACTTGTTTGCGTTTACTCGCTTTCTGCTCACCACTAACGTTGAGTTGCTTCTCTGTGGTGTTTTTCAATTTCGATGCATCAAATTTGTTATTCAACACCTGGAATAAGAAAGGGTCACATCAAAAATCAAATCCTACTCGGTCATCTATCAAGAATAATAATATGGCATCATCAACTCACTTCACTTATTCGAACTTGTATCATTAATCAACAGTTATGACAATAGCTAAATGCTTGGATTCGGTGCGGAAAATAATGATGATGATAGTAATAATGAGTCATGTAAAACGCACGAACAATACCTTCGGTGCTATAGCGATATCGGGTAGTTTAACACCACGAGATTCGCTCAGTTTTCGATGTTGTGCTCGACGATTTGGCACTCTCGAATCGGACATGGACTCTTTCGGTACTGCTGAAACTGTTGAATGTTAGCGAGTGATTTGTGCTCATATTCGGAAAATTGTTCGGAAAGGAACATAAGATGACCTCCTAGCATTATTCTGTAGTGATCAAAGTAGTAGAGGAAAAATTCCTAAAGAAATAAGGGAGAACAAGTGAAAAAAACAACTGGATTCGCATAAAAATGGATAGGAATTAGGAAAAAGCGCAGGACCTTTGAAAGCCTTAACAATGAATTACTGAAGTCGTTTTAGCGTTTACTGTAACGAGCGAGACAATAATATATGGAAAGTTAACTAGGACGTTGTTTACTAGGTTCATTTGTGAATGCATGCGCAGTTCCTAAATGCATGACTTATTGTTACCTAACTACTTGTTTCCATGCATATGTACTCCAGTATGATGTCAACATGATGGCATGTATACATAAGTAACCAAACATCAACAGTGTTGTTTAAAACTCAAGTCATACGTTAACATTTCAGTCACAAATGGTAATGAGCTGAATTGTATGACTGCACTTAGATCCAAGCGATATCGAAGAGCATGAATTTCACAATTGTGCATGCAATCGCCTCAACAGCATGATCCCTGTTTTTTAGCGCTAGTCCTTTGTGTGAGATATCGACTATCAACGTCTAAAGATCACGCGCGATGTCTTCCATTATTAAGTAATATGCGATTTCCCAATCACACGATTGAAGGGATTTATGGTGAGTGTGACTGTAAAGATAAAAAAGCAAGATAGCCGATCCGCTCGTAATACACATACTTCAACAATTGCGATAGCGTGAATACAGCAGCCGCATTAAAAATTTCTGATTTTCATCAACCTAACACAATCAAACTGAGAATTTCATAAATAATTTCATCCGTTGATGAATTTAGGTTAAGCCGAATTTGTGCTGATCATCTTAACGAAGCTGTAAAAGGTTTACGAGTCGATTGAAACGTTGTAATGCTCAAAAACCAAATCGATCAATCAGTGAGCAAATGATGCGAATAAAACATTTGAGGTGTATGGAAAAACATTAAATGAGAAACATCGAAAAAGGGCATTTATAACTGATTGTGAGGATATTTCTTTTCGCTTCCCATTGGCTGCTTTTGTAGCATCTCTCAGACATTACCTTTATTTTACTGAATGTGGCAATGAATAACTGAATAAATTTGCTAGGCACTGGACGTGACCGTAATGAAGATGATTTTGAAAATATCACTGAATACAATGAATTCAAATAATATATATACCAGCAGTGAGTAAATTCAGTGGAAATGCGATTTTGAAAGCCAAAAGTATAGATACACTGAGCTGGAATGGCGTC